ATCTTTGCACTTGCTTTATGGCCAAACAACCCTGAGCATGCCGATGGGTGCATCGATAGTATGCTCTGTAATATCAACAATTCATGTTATAAAAAAAACAGGAATTTTAATAGTCGAATTAAAATGAGATTAAAGTTTATAGGCATGTAAAAAAAAGGTATGCACGTGGATATTAAGAGAAGTGAGCTAAGTAAAGATACGAAATTGTATGAGCAAGTGGTCAGGGCTTAGACCAATAACATCAAGTAAGTATGCAAGTGGCCATGTAGCTGTCTCTTGAACAGTTTGACGTGCACTGCTCTTAAGATTGAGCTGAAGACATTTCCAAACAGATGGGTATTTTCCTGAAGAAGTCAGAAAACAGTACATGTCCTGATGTCCAAATGGCTCCATCTTGCCCATTTTCTCAACCTCGAAGTTAAAACACCTAAAAACCCCACTTAAATAGATCTTCTTGTACCAATTGGCCTTATCCTAGTAGGTCCCCTTGATTCTCTTGAGATTCTACAACTATGAGGTCAAGGAATCAATCTTTACTAAATGCAAGAATTGAATTAATTACTTCCGTTCCGCTCTTTGGGTGTTTTGTCCTGCAATTTTTTGTGCTTCTTTCCAGTGCTTTGTCGGTATTTTTTAATATAATATAGATTTGTTTTGGTCAAGATAATATGATATAGATGCGTTATTCAAAATTTATAATAGTTGATTCTTCATTGTAATAGTGATCTACCGAATCACATAAAAAAAAAAAGTCTTTCTTGGTGATTATGGAATTATCAAGTTTTATGGGCGTAAGGATTTTGATGCCATGAACTACAAAGCCCAATGGCCTGGATACTGCTTGTTTGTACGCCTGAAAGGGAAAGGCTAGTTTGGAAAAGGAGAAAAGCATACCTTGGATATTTGGCTCCTAGGATCTCTTTCTGCCCATACTTTCTCCAACCATAACTATCATCAGGTGGACATCCCAGCCCTGTCTCCGAGCAAACCCTCACCTGCTTCCTCCGTTCTGGCAATATCTTTCTGCATATCGAAAAACACCCGAATCGAATTTAGATCAAGCTCAATCCAAAAATGGCTGACTCACAAGATACAATAAAATGGGCAAGGCCTAAATTCACCTCTTTTTCAAGACACTTCTGTGACTTTGATCCTTGCTGTACCGGTTCGAGTCCTCACTCCTTGGACTTCCGGCAGTGAAATGACGGGACTCCAACATTCCGATTACCGGAAAAGTCTCTCCCATTGAAGCACTCAAGTTTAGGTGCGAGAGTGCTTTATCATAGGAAGAAAGCAACTTTCCAACCAAAAACTCAGAGCTTTCTGGCGATTTCGTCTTGTCAAGTTGGTTCTTGAGCTGGATTGCTAGCTGCCTCCCTTGGGTTAGCTCATTTATAAGAGTCTGATGCTCCCAATTGCATGCCTTTTCCATTTGGAAATCGAACAAGGATTACAGAACTATAGGAAAAAGATAACTGAGTGTGAAAAGCTACTTAGATTATGCCAAGTAGCAACATTAGACAATTAAGGTTGAGGGAATAAAAGTTGGAGCTCCGGAATTAGTAGAAAGGGAAACAAGAAGGCATAAATGGGAAAAATCAGAAGCAACAGATATGAAAGAAACCAGCTGAAATCAATTTGGGTGGGTGTTAAATGAGCTCAAATGGTATATGATTGAGAGAAAAAAAAGGCACTATGGGATTGCAGTACTAGACAATGAGATCAAGTTTTAAAGGGTGGATTTGATTGGTTGTCACGGAGAGAGAGAGAGAGAGAAGCTTCTTAACTGAGGAAGAGCCCGCCTTGGTTATGAAGTTTGTGGGAAAGAGATAAGATATAAGAAGGAAATGACGAGGAAAAGAGAGAACTTTTGACTGGGATAGGGAGTTGGATTTTCTCTTTTTCTTTTTGGTTCGCCGGCGTATCGGCAACGGTTTATGTGCACTTTCAATAATCATCTCCTCGGTCCGATAAACCACTCATGTCAAGATTAAGGTGTTTAAAAAAATAAATCTCTCTTAACTTATTCGAAGAGATTGTTAAAATTCGAATTCAAAATATTTAAATTTATAATTCATCTTTATTATTAATAAAATTTTCTTGGTATTTGAGCTGGATTTTTCTCAAATTGTAAGGAAAAATTATAGATTTACAAGGAAAAAACACCATTTCAAAGGGCCAAATAGAAATAACCTCTCTCTCTCTCTCTCTCTCTCATTTGCACCAGACATCGGTGAACCATAGAATTCTCCTTGAAGACAGAATTGTAAACTGGAAAGTCAGAGATGAAGGGCGAGGCCAGAAAAGCAGACCAAGAATCGTCGAACCTGGGCCAGAATTGGATTTTGTACCAAGTGTTCATGTCCTAATTTAGTGGATTTGTATCGTATTAGATTCGTTTATATTAATCTAATTATTTAATGTGTTTAATAAGTTATCGATTTATTAGTTGAATCATTAATTTCATATCGGTTTCTCACTTGGTGTTTAGAATTGTTGTGCCTTGCGCAATGCTAATGAAAAGTCCGGGAAGAGATCCCACTCATATTTCAAAAAAAAAAAAAATATATTTTAGTAGCATATCTTTTGTTATTATAATATTATTTAATAATTTTTAAAATCAATAATCACGAAAAATTAAAATAAAATCAATGCAAGTGACGTATAACGGTGCTGTCATGAGAACCCCTTGCTTACGCTGTGCTCATAGCTCACCCATCTAAAAATTCAGGGCCAAACAAGCACACATTTTTTCAGTAAAAAGTATAATTGGTCCCTGAATTTTAGTTTTAGTTTTAATTTGGCCCTGAATTTTTAATTATTTTAATTTAGTCCTTCAATTATGAATTTTATTTCAATTAAATCTTTCCATCTGTTTTTATCATTAGATCAAATGGAGACTAATTTGATCTGATCAATTTCTATCGTTAGATCATATGTTTTCATTTGATCTAATAGGGAAATTAACGAAATGACTTAACTAAGATAAAATTAATAATTGAGGGATTAAATTGAAACAATTAAAAATTTAGAGACCAAATTAAAATCAAAATCAAAATTCAAGGACTAATTATGAAATTTACCCCACATTTTATAATACTCAACTGCAGTTTGGGTTCATCATAAATAGTTACTGACTTTAAGAAAAATAAAAGTCAAACTTTGTAGATAACAGCGAATTTAAATAAAAAAAAAACTTGGCCACGTCCATCCAGAAGTTCAACTCTGAATAATGGTAATCTTAGTCAAGCTGATCTTTACAATGTTCTAACTAAATTTCCTCCTCCTCCTCGTATTAACACCTGCAATTCTTCATTCAACCCATGAACCCGACTCAAAATCGAGACGAATTTAACAAGTTTAAATTTTAGTTTAGTTGGATATGATAATCAACAAGCGTACTTGCCAAGTAAATTGATTAGTATAAACTTAACTAAACTCGATGTAAATTTGATTAAATACAATTATAATAGATCAAATATGCTGAAGTACAAATGTTTTGATAATGTGGGTGTTCGAAAAAATCTTAATTTGATGCATAATTGCTTATGAATATCTATATTCGTCATGATAAACAATGTGTGACGTCTTGAGTTTAAATTTGAAAAAAAATTGGGACCAGACTATAAGAGATTTATCTCTCATTAATACCATAGTTTCAGTGTGGATGATCTATCTTTGATTGAATTTGAGAGAAAATTAATCGAGATGTATATAATTTAACCCAGACATCCTAATTGTTGAAAAAAAAAGTTAAACAATGGTAGAAATCAGAATTCGGATTGTTTACGTTGATGAAAAGAACGTCAAGTGTATGAAAATCAATAATTGATGTCATCACTGCTTTAGGTAGTAAGACTTTCTAGAAGATAAGGCAATGAATGATGATAAAAAGTAATTCATATCAGTTCCAAGAAACTGCAATGTTTTATCTTCTTAGATTTGGTCTCTGTTCACCTTATTTTCCACAAAGTGCTTAAACGTGTGGGGCTGCATAGTAGTATTGGTGCCTGTTTTATTAGCACCAGGTCAAACAAAGTTTTAGCCACTGAACAGACAGACCTTGGGGACCGATATTTCTTTCTCGTCTTCTGTCGATCTTCAAATTGGTTGTGCTTTTTTTCTGAGTGTTTAAATTTGTGTCAATTATTTTTCAAACTCAAATACTGATAAGTGTTTAAATTTGTATCAACTATTCTCTCAAACTCAAATACTGATCACTGTAATCCGAACAAATCTACACCTAAGGAATGATGGTGATTGACCTTTAAGAATTTAATAAATATTGAACTCGAGTTTTTCCATAATCATAGAACAAATTCAGTCACTGAACTACCGCTAAGAGTTCAATATGTCATTCATTAGCGTATAAGCATATATATATATATATAAAATTCTCTTTTAACCAAACCTTCACTACGAGGTCCAAGACCATAAATATAGTTTTGTGGGTACTTAAAATTCGTGCTTAGATTGGAATGATCATGATGGATGTTCATGACACCTAAAGAATCAAATAACGCCATATTAGATTGTCCACGGTGTGTTAGTAAAGGACTACTCAGTCAGAGTGTACTAGAGGAGCATAGAGTGACGTAAGTCTTTGTTCAAAAAACGTCTAAAACAAGTCACTCGAAGCTTTATCTTTTGTCCTTGTTAGTTAATTAAGCATGCAAAAAAATTGAAAATAAGCGAAGTGGATCGAAATCCCAGTCACTTGAACAAGCTATAAAATACCAAGAAAACATATCAAAGTCCTGATCTGTGACACTATCAGATGCATCATGGATAAAGAATTAGATTAACATACCTACGAAAGTATAGCATATAAGAAATAAGCAATTTCCACCATGTCATTAACTTTCTTAGGAAGAAAAGGAAACATATAAGAAATATGAGTAATCTCCGCCATGTCATTACGTTTCTTAGGAAGAAAGGAAAAAGGTGTCAAGTTCCTTTTTGTAAGTGTCTTTTTTCATTTTTATTTTTTGATTTTTTTCCAGGTATATAAAAACATATGTGCATAACTACACGATTATTTGCACAAGACCCATCACACCTACGTCAAAATAGAAACTAAGGTTTCACAACGTGTTTTGGGTGATAAAAAATAAGTTTTGTCCTACCGAACTATCATAATTATAAAGACTTAAATTCAAAAATTAAATAAAAAATTCGAATTCTTACTCGTTAGACCAATCACTCAAAGGGATTGGTCAAACACCCCCCCCCCCCCCCCCCCTCTCCCCCTGGGGGGCCAAAAAAAACCCTTTAACACATCGGCACGGTTCACAATCACAGTTCCCAAAAGGGAGAGCTTTTTGTCTACCATTCTAATGGCATTCATATTTAGCATTACATGACTGATACGATTGGCTAGAAAAACAAACGTTTTTTCCCCTCTTTTTATAACGAGAACAGTGTTTTAGAGACTTAATTTAAAAATTTAATCAAAAACTAACATATCGAACAATTTAGTTATGAGTTCTAATATTACATACATCTTACCTTCTATCCAATAATTATAATTAATTATCCTCATATTTCGGTATAAATAACAATTTTCTTTTATATCACTTGAATACCAAATGGATAGAGGATTCAGAAGAAACTGTCACAAAATTCTTAGTTTTTTTTTTCTTTTAGGAACAAAATATATGCTGTAACCAATGCACAAGATTTCCGTTTATCGAAGAACTTGAAAGACGTAATTGATATACGACATTCATCCCCATTTTAGAGCGATTTGATTTGATTTTTAAAATTTGAACCCGTGACACAATGATAATTGGATATTAATCCCACATCTTTTTCCAAACATAGTACGGACATAATAAAAACAAAATAATCGGACAATCCACCATAAATCTAAAGTCAAGTTTAACTTCAAAAGGACTTCTCAGTTGAAGGTTGTCTAAAAAGGGTTCAGATCCCCTACAGTAGTTTGAGTTAAATATCTTCCTAAGTTCTACATTTAATGCTTAAAAAGCAACCTACATGGGGCTTTTGTAGACCACATGATCCAGTCTCAAAAGACAATACGACAGCACAGCCACTGTATTAGACATCGGCTCATCAGCAACCACACTTGAGACCAGGCACCTCAATTGCTACATTTCAATACTATTTTTTTCCACGACAGACCCGGGCATCAATCTAATCAGCCTCACTGGAAGTAGGTTTCTAGACGGTCAAGCAACCTACAACACCTGCATGTTTTGGACACCAACCATGTTTGTTATGCAACGAACAGTATTTATTTATTTTTTATGAACACACACGAGAAAATATATGTAAATTTTAAACATACTTTATCTAATAGAATTTCACATAGAAATCCTAACAAAACACAGCAAAAAAAAAATATAAAGCCAGATACGTATTTACTGATTTCAGCCAGAATTTTCTCTCTTCTACAGAATTTTGAAATGTTTAGCCACCTATTATTCTCCAGTCCTTGTAAGACTTCTTCATCTTCAGCCATGGCCAATCCCTTTTATATAATGGTAGAAAGTACTACTAGATATAATAATCCACTAATAAAAACAACTGAAAACTCCCTATATCTAGGCATCTGCAACATGGCACATTTACTTCATTAGAACTGATAACAAATGAATAATATCCAGTCCCAAGTGAAAGAAACAAAGCAAATAATAACCTGATGGATAGCTCAAAAAACGCCCACTAGTTTTAACAAAGTACAGACAAACTGGTGCAGGCTGAGGTTGAGGCTTGCCTACCTACCATCACTTTAATACAAATCTGCAGTGGTGGTATCAGTCACCAACTCGAGGACAGACGACTTGGTTCCCATGCATAGGACCGATTTCCCAGCTTCCCTCTAAACTCCCTCCAGTTTTAACAAACAAAATAGAGTAGGACTACAAAAACCCTGTTTTCATGATCCCGGCTACAAATTCATGAGACAATACTGCAAAAGAATAAACGGCCTCAAACAGCACGATGATGAACATTTTATATCGTCAAATTAGTTACTGGAGATCTTTTTGAAAAATGAGGGGAAACCATGGAGGCATCCGCTACTGAGTGTTACAAAATCCCTCCTTTTCCCTTGACAATGGAACACCAAAGGGTAAATAACAACCAGTCTTTACAGCACAACCAATGCGACAAACAATTAAACAAAGAGTTACCCCATCTAAAGTTGAGTAGCATACAGCACCTAGAGCATACGCTGTACATTACAGCTGCTACTACTACTACCAATAATAATGATGAGGGCAATTTTCACTCGGACTGCCTAAGTTTTGTCATAAGAACACAATGATCTCCTGACCTTTGCAAAATAATAACCTCAATCAGAAAATTTAATTAAGAAAGACTTATTTACCCTTCAAAATCTTAGCTAAAATTGAAATATTTTTGTGAAATGACTAAATTACCCTGGAATTGTTTAAAGAAGGAGAAAAACAAAAAAGAATGTCAAAAATTCAAAATTTATGAGAATGTCCAGGGTTTCCATAGCACAAAGATACACCCTTTGACGTCCACCACCAGCCTCCGCCCAGCCCACAACCCATAGGCCATAGCCACTCACAACTGATAGCCAACATCCACACCACAACCACTATCACAGTGATGCACAGCCAACTGACATGCAAAGCACACAACACCCAAACCACCCCCCACCACTCACCACCACCGATGAGAATCGTGTAGGAATTTGATAGATATTTTAGATTAATCATGAGAATAATTTAGTATTTATCTTTTAAGTATTTTCTTTTAATTTTTTAGGATTTAGTTGTCATTTTTGATTATTTATTTATTTTAGGGTTTATGATCTCCTTATATATATAGGATTTGTGAACTCCTTATATATATAGGGGATACAAATTTGTTGTGAGAATAAACTTTGATTATTATTGATTATTGATATTGAATCCTTCTTTCTCAAATTCTCTCTCTATCATCATCTCTTTCTTCTTCCCTTCTCATCCCCAATTCTTCTTTACTACGATCTACATCAATTTGGTATCAGAGCCCAATTCTAATTCGTATAAATCACAAAAATCGCGTCATTACTATTCATCGCACTTAATGTTCATCGAAAAATACTGCCATCGAGAAAAACTGTTCATCAGTACTGTTTGCCATAAGCAGTGGAAAAAAAAAATACAGAACCAGCCGGAAAAAAAAATATAGTCTCTGCTGCCTTCAAAATTATAGAAATACCCCAAAAAATTTCAGAAGTTGCAGAACCACCACCAGAAGTTCCAGAATTGTAGAAATATCCCTAACAGATCCAAAAAATTACAGAATCAGCCCCCCAAAAATTTCAAAAATTGTAAAATTATCCCTAGAAAGTTTCAGAATTTTCACCGGATAAAAGTTTGATTATGATATGCATACTCCTATCAAATTTTGAAATTAATATTTTTATTCATTGAAAAATTAAAAAATTTGCAAACGGTCCAAATTGTTTATCAATTACATTTTTGAACTTGTTTTGGTGCCATGCTCTTGTTTCGAGACTCACTCATGAGTATGTATGATGCCTCTAATCCACATATTTACTCTAGTTTAAGAGTTCCTCCTCGAGGTCATCATCATAACAAGTCTAGGTATGTCTACAAGGATTCAACACCTATTGTCAAATCAATTAAAGATCCTTCTATATTTTGTGGTACATCAGATCCCAATCAATTCTTGGATTGGTTAGCTAATTTAGAAGAATATTTGATTAACATAGCATGGCATATCAGATTTTCATTACGTCCGTTTTGCTAAATTGATGTTGGAGGGTTCCACCAAGCAGTATTGACAAACAATCCAAAGAAGCCTAGATCCCTTAGACGAATCACCTATCACTTGGGTTGAAATGAAATATAAATTGAAAGAGAAGTATTTGCCTAGGATCAAGTTTATGACCAATGGCTCAATCTTAGACAATATTCTTTTAGTGTCTCTGATTACTTTGCCTAGTTCGATTATCTCATGTATATGTGTAACATTGTTGATGAACCTTGGACAATTAATCAGTTTATTCTTGGACTGAGACAAAAAATTAGTAGGGAGGTCAAGTTATACACTTTTAATACGTTAGTGGCAACCTATTAATATGCTCTAAAGGTTGAGAAATTTCAAAAGAAATCTAACTATAGCTTGATGGGTTTTCAATCACAGTCTGCTAAACAGCGTGACAGGATACATTCTAATTTTAATTTCATCACATATGAGTATCATGATTACTTGAACGAGATCCATGTTATTTTCGCATGCTTTCCTAATCCGAATGTGACAAAATATTTAGATATGCTAGTATCGGATAAAGAGAAAAATGTTACTCATATTGACTTCCAACTCCCTCATTTAATTTCATCAGATTAGAGTCCTCTTCCTTTGCACCCACAAGAGTTCATATCAAAAAAAAGTGTGTGAGTCTTTACTTGTGTCAATTCTTGAACCATCATTGGTCTTGAAAATTATGAAAAAGTCTGTTGAGTCTACACCTATGCAAAATATTAAACTAATCGAGTCATTTATTGCAAAATTTATTAGTGATTATTCTGTGTCTACTTGTCCAAGTCATCATGATTTTATTACGGATTCTTCCCAACTTGAGATTGTTGACATTGTTCTGGATTCTGCCCCACTTGAGGGTGTTAACTTTGATTCTTTGCCTATTGTCAAGTGTTCAATTGAGTCTGCACTTTCTTATTTTCAGCACCAGGGTGTTATAGTTACTCCTTTGTCATTGATATCTTGTCCCACTGAATGTCTTTTGTTCAAATTTAATGAGAATTGTCTTGTTATTCTTGAGTTTGGATCTAATGCTTATTTGCTTAATTTTTTATTGAATGTTAGTATTAGTCCAGATTTTTATTTGAAGAACATGTTACTTAATCGAGGTACTTTAGAACCTCCTATTTTGTTATCAAGTGTTTCAACAGGTGGAATTGCTTCTTTCTCAGCATTAGCTCTAGTTCTTATCTTTCCACTTTCATCGTGTATTTCAAGAAAAATAGATGATGTATTACGTGACCAGATTTACATTGCTACAGATGGAGATTCTTGCATTTATTCTAATTGATGGAAAGATATTGATGGTTCTTGCATTTTAGATGAAGTGTTCTGTCATCTTCGTTCTGCTCTCGTTGGGTACTTCTACTTTGAAGACTATCCGAAGGAGAATTTTTTTCAATCGAAGGAGAATGATGGAAACCGTGAAAGAATTGGATAGATATTTTAGATTAATCATGAGAGTAATTTAGTATTTATCTTTTAAGTATTTTCTTTTAACTTTTAAGGATTTAGTTGTTATTTTGATTATTTATTTATTTTAGGGTTTGTGATCTCCTTATATATATAGGATTTTTGTAAACTTCTTATATATATAAAGGATACATATTTGTTGTGATATTAGATTTTGATTATTATTGATTATCGATATTGAATCATTCTCCCTCAAATTCTCTCTCTGTCTTCATCCCCTCCTTCTTCTTTTTTCATCTCCTTCTTCTTCCCTTCTTATCCCTAATTTTTCCTTAATACGATTTACATCAACCCCCCAAAACCACCATGGCACCAAATCGAACAGCCAAATTCACTACCAGTCTAAGCCGCCCCAGTGACTGGAAGGGGACTAAGAACTGGTGAGATTGAAGCAGTCAAATTTATCAAAAAACACCCATCAAACTATGGCCTTTTAGGCAGTAACCAATTATCATGATATACCGAAGAAAAAGAAAATGTAACTTAAGGCAAGATAATCACAAACTACTAACAATAAATGATTCCAGAGATGCAAGAACTAAAGTTGTACTTAATGCTTTAGCTATTGTGTCAATTATACAGGACATGCAACACAGATAAAGCATAAGGAATTGACAACTGTGCTTAGATTTATACAAAATTAGTACAGTTGGTCCAACTATATATATAAACCAAAGACAAGAGATCTTTAACTTTTTTGCAGGAGGTTATCCTTGAACTATCGAGCCATTAACATTTACATTGCTCTATCTTTTCCTAAAAATATGCAATAGTTACAAGATATAGTAGGAAAATTGAGAAAATACATTCCAAGATATTATCAAACAGAGTGGATACCTGGCCTGGCCTCCTCTTTCAATGCTTCAAATTTTATTCTTCCAATTCAACCCTTCACAGCACCAACGTCTCTGGTCAGGATAACATACACAACACCTCGTAAATATCTTAATCTAACAGGCTCTCCTAGACAACTCCCTCCAATTCAACCCTTCACATTATCTACATCTCCGGTCAGGATAACATACACAACACCTTGCAAATTTCTTAATCTAACAGGCTCTCCTAGACAGCTCTTTCTCCACCATCAAGCAACGCTAGGCTCGGCATGTAACTCACTATACGGAATGAACTTGGCAAACCACATATTCCAAGATCCTTTACCTGTTGGTTCTCAGGGTCATATGAAACCAAATTCCCATTGTTCATCACCAGCAAAACTTCACCATTATTCCTAATCATCAATGGCAATGAAATTTGCAATTGCACAATAGTGAATTGTCTCATCCAAGACTCTGCCATACCATATTGTCTCATAATCCACATTTCCCATCGATCACTAGCCCCATCTCGAAATAGAATGAACAGAGACAATGATTCCTCAGAAGCCGAAGGAAACAAGAACATTTGATCATAATTAATTTCACGATTCCTAGGCAATTCCATCACCCGAAAAACCTCATCACCCACATCAAAAGCCATGATAGAATTGTACCTACCATCTAACTTTTTAGACCTTTCATAAGCCATCCAATGAACACACCCATTCACAAACACATTGTTAGACCAACCTTTATTTACAAAACATGGCGCAACAGCCTCAATTTTCCTCCAACAATCATCATCAAACCCATAAACCAAGACATCAGGCTCAGCCTGATTATCCAAATCATACAAAATCTGCACCACCTTGAAGTCATTAATCTTGGAAACTAACCCAAATCCAACAACCATATGTGAAAACTTATCTCTAAATCGATGGCTCAAATGGGAATCTTTAACAATCTTGAATTTTCTAATACTAGGGTTCCAAAAAATTAGCGTACCAATGTAGGTGAAGTAATTGGTATCGAATAAGCATATTATCCCTTTGCTTGAACCCACAATTCTAAAGTACCCATTAACGCTTTTGAAAGGAATTTCAAGTTTTATAGTCTCATAGAAAGTGGAAGTGCAACGAATTGAATAGTACTCTGTGGTGTAGTCGGTGGATTCATAGTGGAGGAGGACATGGTGGTCACCACCGCCACCATTGGAGAGGTGGAAATTGATGAAGTGGGGATGAGAGATAATTGGAGGATATGATTTGGAGACGCACCTGAACTGAAGCAAAGATTTGGTGGGTAGCCTTGAGAGGATGTCGAAGATGACATCGCGTGGAAGGTTTGACAGCTCGCTTGACATCTTCGCACTTTCTTTTCACGGCTCTGAAGTAAGAAGAGAGAATCTAATGTTTACAACGGGTCGGCGTGTCATCAAATTAGATCTTTTTTCTTTTTTCTCTATTTTTTTTTTTAGCTATTTATCTAGATATCTACGTTTGTGACGACTATTTTATCTGAGTTAAGATATTGTTAAGTGTAAACTGAGTAGGTTTAAAACATTTCTTGTGAAAAACAAGGATTACTAGTCCCTAGAAGGTATCTAGATATCTATGTTTGTGACGACTATTTTATCGAGTTAAGATACTGATCAGTGTAAACTAAGTAGGTTTAAAATATTTCTTGTGAAAAATAAGGATTACTAGTCCCCAGAAGGTATAAAAAACGTTAAACTTACGATTTCTAGAGTGTCAAAGTTCGACAGCGGAACGGTTTCTAAATGTTAATTAAAATATTTTGACAATTTTTTAGTGGTGTTTATATTTTTGATACATATCGTTTGAAATGTGCTCAAATTCTTAGTTTTTGTACCATTGAGGCAAATTATAATGTGATTTAGACCCAAATTTCTGTTTATTTTTCCATTTGAAAACACAATTTATTCTCAATTTGTACCACTTATTGACATGAAAAAATAAATGACAGTTTAGATTTAGATCACATTGTAGTCGTTTTATAATAGTGTGTTTGTGTTGTACATAAATAATTTTTGTATATAAAATATTAGTAAAAAGATTTTAGGTATATTTGTACTTAAATTAAATATCATCTCAAGTTTATAAAAAATTATATTTTTATCACTCATATTATACTATTGAATTCAAAAAAATTTATCTGTTCCCAACGATGCATTATTCTGACTATAAGAAAAAAAGATAAAAATAATTTATTTTGAAATTTATTTGATTAGGTTTTAACGTATAATTCATTGAATAAAATAACAATAATTATTAACACTCTAATCAATGTTTATTTTTAAATTTTCATAAATATTGATATTTATACATAGAGAATATAGAATTAAAAAAAATATTAGGGGTAATTTAGAGATTTAAACATATTAGAATATGATAGTAATTTAAATATTTAACTATAAAAAGATATTATGGTATTTACAATTATTTATAAGAGTAAAATAGTGAATGAAAATTTTTTCTTACTAAGGTACTTTATATTAGTAGTATAGTATAGTATAGATTAAGAGTACTTCTAAGTCAAAAAATATCTTTCAAGGTACTAAATGGAATTAATCTTTATATTTGGATTTTTCTCTACATTTTCTCTCTAGAGACCTACAATGCATAAATACTCTATTAATACACAAAATAATATATTGGAAAGGGTTGATACTTATAGCTTTTTTATGTCCCTTTTACCTTAAGAACAGTAGTAGATATTAGAAAATTTATTTTTCGATATCATAACTCTTTCTTTTGTTTAATGAGAGCTATGTACAAATATTTTTGTTTGTTATTTCCATATGTTATTTTTTAGGATCTCAATTAACTCATATCATAGTATTACCCTTAGAGGTGGTGTCATAGTAGTTAAAGTGTAGTTTGAAATAATTTTTTTTATGAAAATTGGAAGTAAGTCTTCATAGATATACTTGTTTGCAGATAAATCCTGTAAGGAAACTTATAAGAAATTAAATCCATATTTAAAATTATATATAATGACTTAAATCCATCGTTTTTTTTATCTCAAAAATACCCTTCCTTGAAAGAAAGTTAATCTTTTTTCTCTTATATTTATTTATATCTATATATAGGTTAATAGTTTAACTAACATTAAAATTTTTCCTATTATATATATATGGTAACATTAAAAAAAATAATAACATTCAAATACAAAAAAAAGTTACTATGAATTTGAATAGAAAAATTCAAATTCATGTTACTATTTTTTTTATTATGTTACTGTTTTTGTTGAGTATGTTACTGTTCATGTATTATTATTTTTGAGCATATTACTATTTTTGTTAAGTATGTTACTGTTTTTATTGAGCATGTTGCTACTATATATATATATATATGAGTTTTTAATTTTTAGTTTTATTTCACTTTAAAAAAAAGGAATAGTATGATAAAATTGACAAAAAACGAACATCATAACAAATAAGTTTTCTTGACAGACTTAAATTCAAACAAGTTTATATAGAGGGACTGACCTCCAAATTTTCCTAAAAAAAATGTAGTTAGGCGAAGCCCTAGAGCCTTTGGGCCATCTAGTCCAAAGGGGAAAATTACTTCAGTGGGTTATGTTTTCTCATCCCAAACGGAACGGGCCTCCTTTAGAACCCCATTGATTATATTTTTGGGGCAGTAGGTGCCTACTGGCCCATTTAGGTTTAAGAAAGACACTGCTCTGGAAGATTCCACTGTTTCAAATCCCAAAAGATTGACATCATCAAGGAGCTCAATTTATATATCCACCATTAGAAGAAGTGTAAAAAAGGCAAAAAAAAAACTAAAGAGGAAATGATTGGCTTTTTTTATTTTACAATGGCCCAACAATTATTCACAACTTTTGAATATAACAAATGCTGCAATTATATCTTTGTAATTGGAGGAGAGGATCAAAAGGTAGCATAAAAGTACCCTTCTAGATGAAGTGATTCTATTGCTCTTAGCTTTGGAAATGACGACTTGATTCTTAAGTCTTTTTTAACCCTCATTTCTTTTTGTGCAAAAGTGGGTTTGCTCTCCTTTATAAGGAGTTGTCGATTTTCAAACACGGTCCAGCTAGGTTAGAATCCTACTAGGTGTGATGGCTCCTTTTCCTCTTTTTCTTGATAGTCGGCTACATCCATTGTTATGCATAAAAAATGATGATAATTATGTTAGAGTAGTTAGTATATTTAAATTTAAGGGTAACTTAATAATTTGTTTTTTTTTTTATGTTGCCCTAACTAAGTCTGTTTGTTTTCTTTTTATCTTACTATATAAAGACCTCTTATATAGTAATTTTTTTCAAGGTTGTTTTAAATTATTGTGCCTAAATAATATTCTTTTCTTCTTTCTCTTACGTTTCTATGATTGATCAAAGTTAACATGGTATCAGAACTAACATAGTTCTAAGGGCTATGTACAGTACCGATATTACTATTCACGAGCTGTGGACAGTGTCGAATTTCGATGTTTAGTGCCATTTTTGTTGTATTGTTGTGTAAGAAGTCTCAATTTGTTATGAGTATTTGATTTACAAAGTTGTTGAGTTGATTTATGACGAACTTTGGATTATTTGGCATTGACTGCTTCTTTTGGTTCTAGTTTCTGCTCTTGACTTCTGCTGATTGGTTTTGGGGAGGTCTCTTTTGGCTTCGTTGGTGCTTTATTCTTTCTGTTTTGTGATTAGATTTGTGTTTCCCTGTGTATTGGCTGTCTGTTTCTGTGCCTTCGTTCCTAGGTCTTCCTCAGTGAACCAATTGCTACATAGACTGCTAGTTCTAGTTGTTGGGTTTACTGCCTTTTCTTTTCTGCTGGTGCTTCTTGTTGCAAGGTAAGAAATCCTAATTCCTTTTGACATTCTTTTCTTTGTCTGATTTGGGCTCCTCTCTGTTAGGCTGCTGGTTTAGCTTTTCTTCTTCTCTTTGTTGATTTGGACTTCTCTCTGTTGGGTTGTTTGTTTGACTTTTCTTATTTCCTTTGTTGGGCTTTGTTTTGTTGGACATAATTGCTAGTGATTTTTGTTGGGTAACCCAAATCCTTTAAGTTTGTTGATTTGAGCTTCTTTCTGTTGAGCTGTTGGTTTAGGTTTTAATTCGTTGAGCCTACACTTAGAGTATTTATTGAGTTTATTATTTTCTTCCTCTAAATCTCTAGAACTTCGTGCTTACTCTGATGCGGACTGGGCTGGTGACTCTTTGAATTGTATGTCCACTACTGGTTTCTGTCTCTTCTTTGATGATTCTCTTATTTCCTAAAAAAGTAAGAAATAAACTGTTGTGGCTCGATCATCTGTTGAAGCTGAGTATCATGCTATGGCTTTCACAACAGCAGAGATAATTTGATTGCATTGGCTACTTGCTGATCGTTTTCTTCTTAACAAACTTTTGATGTTTTTTCCTACCACATCATGAGTTTGAGGGAGGGTGTTAAAATAATTAGTATATTTAGACTTAGGAATAACTTAGTCTTTTGTTTTCTTTTTATGTTTTCCTAACTTAGTCTGTTTGTTTTCTTTTTACCCTTCTATATAAATACCTCTTATATAGTAATTTTTCTTCAAGGTTATTCTGACTTATTGTGCCTCAATAATATTTTCTTCTTCTTTCTTTTACATTTTTATGATTGATCAAAATTAACAAATTACACTTCGCTTATTTAAATGTATATGAAACGTTTTATAAGTTTGAATTTTAGATTTTTATTGGCCGTAAAGCAATACAAGCCTAGTTTAAATTGAACAATAATACCTAGTATGAATGTGGTTATGCAATCGTACTTCGCTTGGAGAAATGGGTATCCAATATTTTATGAGTGCAAGTTTTGAATTTTTATTATATAATTAGTTTCAAAAAACTTACATGCTTAGCCATAAAACGAATAATATTATGTAACTCGGGAGTACCATGGGATTTGAAAAGTATCAAGTATAAATATCATAAATCGTGACTATTTTTTTTTTTTTGGGTTCAACGATTAAGGAAGTTTGAATCATAATTAATTCTGGATCAACAAAACAACCATCAAGAAAAGTCTTTCAGAATAATTGAGAAATGGAACCCAATATGAATTGGGTTGGATGCTACATAAACAGTGGACACATGATTTGTTAATCTACAATTTTATTAAATGATGTCACTCTTTTTGCTTTAACAGATAAGAAGAAAAAGGGGGTCCAGCTTGTAAGCCACTTTCTTCATATTTGCTTAATGATATGATTAAAAAAACACTTTGTCTTATTAACATGAAAATTTTGACCTCCTCACTTGGGGATAATGTACAAAATTTCCTCGGATTGGCTTAATGGTATGATTAAAAGACACTTTTATCTTCATAATATAAAATTAGGTTAATTACAGTGGAGGTCCGTAAAGTATGAGATTTGTCTCATTTT